TTTTATATTTTAATATATTATTAAAATTAAAACCAAAATTAATATTTTAAACTATCTTATTTTAAAATATATTATTTTTAAAACACAAAATGTGTTATTACTGACAGTGCTGTACAGTAAAAGTGGTGGCAACACAGTCCTATGGCCTGACTTCAACTCTAAATCTCAGTTCCATTATTATTTCATCTTTAAATTGCTGCTTCGCTTTCATCTTCAGAAAATTCATTTAACAGGGAATACAGAGCAGTATTCTGTATTGATTTAGGAGTTATGTGCAGGCTATTGTTATCAGTGTTAAAGTGGATGCCTACAGCTTATCTGGAACCAAGATAAAGAGTTCAAAATTAAAAATGGAGAAGCCGTTTTTAGTTTTTAAAATATTTTTACATGCACATACATACATATATAATTTTTATGTATATATAAGTTTCTATAACTGTATGTAATGTGTATCATAAGTTTTATACATTTGCTTCTTACAGTTGTAAGCAGCTGGTTTTCCTTTCTTCATTTAACAGGTCTAGATTAAACTTTATCATACAAAGCCTTTAACTTGCATTGATACCAGCCTTTCAGTCTTGTCTGTTGTGTATTTTGGCTTTTGAAACTGCATAATAGTTAAGTTAAATATTTTCTTAAACCATATTCTCAGCCAGCACAAGTTTCGATACGTCTAAATCAAGATGGGGATGACATGCTTAAACAAGCCCTTGGTTTAGTTGCAGGGGCGTGTGTGTGGAAATCTGTCTGTTTTACAAGGGATCGCTGATTGGGAAATAGAGCTTTACAGATTATTGCATGGCTATTTCAAACTAACGTCCCTATAAAGAGAAAGAGAGTGAATAGAGATACCTTGGAAGTTCTACCAGAGTGTTTGCACAGCATTACATTGAACATGTTCTGCATTTTCTCTTAGTGCATCTATTGATGTTGTATAAATTAATCTAGTATGCTTCCAGCCAACTGTTTCTGTCTGTGAAAAGTGGTTCTTTTTGTGTTTGTTGCTCATGATAGAGCAAGGAAGAAATCACAGTCATTACAGTTAGTTATTTTACTAAACAGTGAAGTGCAAGATATAATATGGAGAACTGATGGCATATATGCCAATATGGTAAAATATGAAAAGGTTTGAGTGATTTTAATTTCAATTGTTCTATCTGAGCATTTAAGAAAGAATGGTTTGGTACTTCTAATCAAACAATAACTTTAATTGAAACATTTCTTTTTAAAATCTAGATTAAAATACATTGTACTAATGGATGCCTCTAAAATATTCACACTTTCAATTTTCAATGTCATACCTTCTTTCCTAATGTTGCTTTATTAAACTTAATTCGTGGTGGTTTGAAAAACAATACTGATTTCCTTTTTGTTTCCTGCCCTGCTTTGCAAATTGATAACGTTCCTGTTGTAGGGTTTTATGGTTTGCATGAATCAGATTTGGACAAAGTCTTTCAGCTGCCTACAACCACCTTCATAGGAGGAAATGAGAACAGTCTTTCTTTACGAGAGATCATCAAACGGCTGGAGGTCAGTGGGATGTTTTTTGACTTCTGATTGTTTTTTATCCAAACAGAAGTGAACTTCTTCCAGTTGTCATTCACAAAAAACTCATCATTTGTCATTTATTAATAAAGCATGTAAAGAATTCAAATGACATTAGAAGCAGTACAAGGTTTATTTTTAGAGATGGCAGCACCGTTGGTTTTATTGCCTGGATATCCAAAATACATAAATTAAGGATGAGTATAAAAGGGGTGAATATGGTAGAATACTAACTCGAGCCCTAGCTCTGCAAAGAGATGATGTTGTTTAAAAGGAGTAGAGCCTTTAGAACTTGTCTTTTAAGTGTCCTACTATGGATAAAACACCTTTGCTTACGGTACTCAGGACATGCAGGTGTGGCTCTCAGAGCCCTAGCTTTAGTGAGACTTTTACCTGAGTAAAAATATAAGGGTCGGGTACCAAATTCATGAAAGCCTGGCTGTAGCTTGTAGATAGTGATGGTCCTCGTTTTTCATCCCCAATCCTCTTTCTAGAGTTTCATTATCTGACAGGTGACATGGTTATGCCATGTGAAGTCTTGAAAGCTAAAATAATGTAAAGCAAAAATAATTTAAAGGAATAAATATAATTAAAGAGGAATTCCAAATAGCAAAACAGTAATGAATTTTTAAACTGCTGAGTTACTAAGTATTTGATATTCCCAATTGTGCAATGTGTTGCGAGTGTGAGAGAATGTGTTGACTTGCACGTTTGACTATTACATCAGCTTAGCTGAGCCATGGTAAGTTGTTAAGCTGCAGCATCTCTGTTGTGCATTTGAGCTCTATATTTGCTTTTTGGTTTTTGCACTTGTAGCATGTCTGTGCAGCAATTTTCAAGAGATAATCCTTAAAATTGTAGTGTGGAAATAAATGGGCAAAATCAATAGCAAAATCTAAAAGCCTCAAGGAACTGATTTGTGTTAAAGAGAAATAACCCTGTGGTTTCCCTCTTCTTTCCAGAGCTTTGGATTTTTTAAATTGAAGTTAACATTACATTCCTTTTTAGAGGCAGTAGAGAGCACATACTTTGTGTTCTGAGTGTTTTTATCTCAAACTCACAGTAAGTCTTACTTCTGCTGACTTGTATTTTGGATGCATTTTTCTTGTGAAATATTCTTTTTAAGGTAAGAAAAAGAAAATTTAAAAAAATGCAACAAGGAGATAAAATTTCTGAAGTGTCTTTGCATTTTTCCTTGCCCTTTGTGTGCTCTCAGCTGCTTGGATTCTTTTCCAGATTTCCACCCTTCTGAGACTTCAGGGTTATAAGATAATTTGCTTCTTAGCTGCCTTGTAATTGTCTTTATTGCTTGATTTCAGGTGACATTTAAAAAAAACAGGGTAAATTTTGATAAATGACTTGAAATCTTTGCTGATGCATCTAAAGAAAATACTGTTTTGCCTGTAAGAACAGTAGCAAATTAAGTCAGTTTAAGGCAGGTTTATTGGCCTACTTTGAATGTATTACCAAATGAGAATCTTCCAGATTCAAAATTTTGAAATGTTATTTTGTAGAGAAAGCTTTCTGGCACAAAATTAGATTCAGTAAAATAATTTGTTTGCTTATAGGATTACTGTGGGGAAGATATAGTGGAAGAGGAAGAAAAGATAGCTTTCAGAAGAGTAATACATACAGAAAATATAATTTAAAATAAAGTATGTGTTTCTTCATGGCCCATTAACTCCTAAAGCTTCTGTGTTGGTGTTTTCACATCCTAGAATACCTACTGCCAACACATTGGCTTGGAGTTTATGTTCATCAATGATGTCGAGCAGTGCCAGTGGATCCGACAGAAGTTTGAGATGCCAGGAGTTATGAAGTTTACTAATGAGGAAAAAAGGACTTTGTTGGCAAGGCTGGTGCGCTCAATGAGGTACGCTGGAATGGGGCTGGGAAACTGCTCTGTGACTGCTGGCTGTAAGATGGTGTGGGAAGCTGGTGTGGTCTGTAAACTGCTGAGGTGAAGGTGAAGAGTCTGAGCACAAGTGAGTGTAGTTAACCTGGCTGTGATATGAAAGGAAAGTTTTGTGTGCTCTAAGATGTCAGGGTCTGTGTAGTGACTTCTAGTATTCTGTTTTCTTAAAAAGCAGTTTGTGATCTGTAACACTTGTGCAGCCTTTAGTGGCATATCTGGCAAAGTTTTCTCAGAAAATAGGTGTCAAAACAATGTCGGACACTGATCTTCTGCTATATTCTATCTACTTTGCATCTTTCTAGTAGCACATGATCAAAGGAAACCATCCTAACAGTCAGCTTGAGAGAATTTTTACATGGGTGAAATGTTGACCTGAGCGTTGTTTGACTCACTGGGATGCTAACGATCTCTTTAGAAAGCTGTGCCAAGATGGGACTGGATTTGAGAGGCATAATGTGATTTCAAGTCTTATTTTTGCCCTTTTCCTTTGGAGGTATGCCAAGATGTGCTGTACTGTTGCATGACCTGGCAGCAGGAGTTTTGTTCTTGGCACTATATGAAAGCGTGTTTGGAAACAGCTTATTGATTGCACCCATTGTGGCTATATGTATGGAAATACTGTGATCCCAGAGACTGAATTACCCTCTCACCTCTAGAACAAGACTGTCTTAGGCACGAGATTTATTCCAGTTCTTACAATCTGAAACAGTTTGCGTATCTTTTGGTAAACACAAGAGTTAGAGATTTATAACGACACATTTTCTGATTAAGCTTCTATGTTCTAAGGCTTAGAAAGGAAGTGCTCATTGGAGGTGTTGGAAGATATTTTTGCCAGGTGTTTTGTTTGCCAATGTTATAGCAAGATTGTTTGTCTGGTTAAAAGTTTCATTTAAATAGAAATAAAGTCACTTAATGGTCACGTGAATATTGCACTTGAGTAAGTTTGTTTAACAAGCCCTCAGTATGAACCATCTCCATTTATCTTGAGACAAGAATTTGTGCTTGTTTCCTACCTTAGCTATGGAAATATCTGGGGTTTCTAGTAGCAAGAAGGAGCCGAACGTTCATCTTCTGCCAAGTTAATTATCTGCTGAAAATGGAAGAAGAAGGTTTTATATAAATTTCTATCCGGCTATCTCTAGCATGCTTTTTTTGTCTGAGAATTATCAAGAAAAAAAATCTGGTTTTGTGCAAAACTGGTTGTGCTCTTGAGATTTGTGGCTTTGTAAAACAGATAGTCATCATTTTGCTCAAGAATACTATTTTCAAAAATGTTCATTCCAAGCACTGTGTAGTTCTGGTACTCAAAACTGAATTTTAAGGTATTATGGTGTTCACTGATATGTTATTGAACAAAGGGTCATTTTTAACTCTCTCTCTTGTAAAATACTTACTGTATATCTTTGAGCTGCTTTGTCTATGCACTAGTAAACATGTTAGACCCTGATTGTATAGTCTGATCTGGGCATCTCCTTAAGCCTGCGCAGGGTCAAGCATTTCTAGATTGTCCCTTCTGAGAGCAACCATCTTTCACAAGACTTACTCCTCACTGGATATTGAATACATGCAGTGACAGTGGATAAGCTGGCAGCCTTTGTGAACTCACAGTGGCACATAGGGGACTTGCAAGATGTGACTGTGAAATATTGTAGTTCTTCACACTTAGTGGCAGTTTGCCTCAAATAATGAACTTTCTGCTTGTCCAGTACTGGTTTGCAGCTGCAAAGAGGAGGAAAACAGCATGTACACCACTTTGATTTGCCCTGTAGGACCTGCTGTTCACATGGCACCCCACTTTCAATTTATATAAACTGGCGTAGCCCCACAGACTTCCCCAAGGAATTCTGGCAGCATGGCTCAGCTGAGGGTCTGGCTTGTTGCTTAGATGACTAAATTGTAAGGATATTGATGGGTGAGCTAAGGAGAGTCTTTTGGCAACTCTTCATTTCACTGCTTTTAGGACTTCAATCTAAAGAGGTAAATGTCAGCAGTCTAAGTGAGGACTAAGCTGAGTATTAATGGATTATAGCAGTGTTATGAGTCGAGGCATTGCACAGATGATGTAACCAGTACAGTTATTTTCAAGGAGATGTATTTTCTTTACCTTTTTTGTCTCCAAGCTTTACAACATATAATCCTTTCAACATTTGTTAAAAGGTACTTTTTAACCCCTCACGTTGCCTCTGGCCCAAATGCATTAAAGAATGAAAGAACATAGAGCTGTCAAGGATTGACATCTTTCTCCCGCTGAAGGTGAGGCAGAGATACCAGTGTCCTAGTTCTTGGCACATTACCAGCTGTTACATCATACAGTCTGAGGAGCCCTGCCATTGAATAGGAGCTATGAAATAGGCATGCTTTCTACTGAGTTTTTCTACAAGTATTTAATGGTTACTTCTAGAAAATACAGGTTCTCTGTTATGTTTTCTTCAATCCACAGAAGACACTTCTTTGTTGTCATTCTGCCTTCCCAGTGGTCAATATACATTTTGTGTACATGGGAAGGAGTTTAACATGGGAAGTGAATTTTGTCTGAGGTGGAGACTCTTCTTCCTGTCTGAATTGTTTTAAAATCCTGGTAAATACTTATCAGATGGTGGAGAGAGAAGACTTAATTCTGTCCTGTGTCTCTCTCCCTACATGTGACATACTTCCAGAGGCCTAAAAACATGTATTCACAGATGTTTTAAAACAATGTAATGTCATTTTCTTTGCTAAAAGATGTATGACAATAAGTATTTGCTACATTATCTTAATACAAACACTCTCTCTTGTTGTTTTGGGTTTCTTTTTGGCAAAGATTTGAAGACTTCCTTGCTCGCAAATGGTCTTCCGAAAAGAGATTTGGTTTGGAAGGATGTGAAGTAATGATTCCTGCACTTAAGACCATCATTGATAAATCCAGTGAAATGGGAATTGAATATGTTATAATGGGGATGCCTCATAGGTAATGTCAGTGGAAACCCCTCAACAAATGGGCTTATTGTCTTAAGACAAGTTTTGAGTTCTAGAATTTTATTAACAAAGTTGATATTAGAGAAGCTGGGGTGCAAGAGTCAGTCATAGAAAGTAATGGGAACACAGAACTGTAACAAATACCTGTCAGTGAGAGACTGCAGGCTTCACAGGTAAATGCTAGCAAAACTCTATTCAGCGTACTTTGAAACTGCAAGCAAATGTGGCAGCAGCCGTGGTATCTATCCCATTGCATAGAGTCTAGAACTGAGAAAGCTTAGTGAGATAGTATCAAACTTACTTTTGCAGTCTGTCTTAATTATTAATGTCATTATATTAAGACTTATACAAAGTTCATTGCTCATACTTTGATAACAAGATGTTATAATACATCTGTGGGAATGCATTGGAGGAACTTTGCAATGGGAAGGAGAAGGATAGAATGAAGGATTTCAGGTTCAAAAGTTGAAGTGAACTTCTTACTTGCAAATTTCTGACAGAGTGGCTTGCTGACTTCATAAGTTTTGTGCTGTTAACTCTGTTATTACCATTTTTGAGATGTAACTGTGTTTGGAATTTTCTTAGAGGTAGACTGAATGTACTGGCTAATGTAATCCGAAAAGAGCTGGAGCAGATCTTCTGTCAGTTTGATCCCAAACTTGAAGCAGCTGATGAGGTAAGATGCTTCTGCAATAGATTCAAGGTAGTTTTCAGTCATTTTGGTCATGGTTATTATGAAAGTAGCATTATCAGCTGCTGAAAGTGCATTGTCATCTTTTCTAGTTTGAGGAATATGATTTGGTGAAATTTCTTAACAAATTTAAAGACTGTGCTGTACCTCTAACTTGCAGAAGGTATCTCAGGAATGACTGTAGATAAGTAAGTACCAGGTCATTTGACTGAGTTCATAATCTCTAAGCATCTTTCTTTGTTTTGTATAAATGAAATAAGTATCAATATTCTGTAAATATTTATCCAATATTGGATAGTGACACTAAGATAATAAAACAGGAATAGTGTTCCAAGTTGAAAGTGCAGTGTCAAACCCATAGTACATACTGATGTACAATTAGCTAGATGCATTTTTCAGACTGAAGCAGAAATTTTAGGCGTAGTCAATCGGATGCAGCTGGTATGAATGGCATTCCGGAACCGGG